ACAACCACAAGGCTCAGGGAAGCTCACAGCAATTCCTTCTAATCTCCCATGCAAGAGAAGCCATCAGAACCTACCAACAGCCAGTCTAGGGTGCAAGGGACAAAAATGGAGCAGCTTGGGCCTCTGCGGTGGGAGGGAATTGGGAAGGGATGGGCTGAGGGTGACTACTGCCAGCACTGGGATGGAAGTGGGGCATCGGGGTGAGATCCCAAAGGAGGATCCCTGAGCAAAACCTGTGCCCTCTGGATCAAAACCCACGCCTGCTGGATCGGGTGTTGGGAGCACTGTGGGGCATAAAGGGACCAGAGAAACAGGGGGGCTAGGGGACAAGAGCACATGGGGGGGCCCACTGAGGCCCGCTGCACTGCAAGGCACACCGGCAAGCGGGGCTGTGCTGAGTGGGGGGGAGGGGGAGAGGAAAAGCAGGGCCAAGGCCTAGCGGGGTGAGGGCCCGGGGAGCAGCGGGGGGGGGGAAGGGGGTCAGCTCTTCCATGCGGGCAGCCCGGGGCAGGAGGCAGAGCGGGGGGCGCCGCGGGGCAGGGCTGGCCCCGAAGGGAGCCGGGAGCCGTCGGGAGAGAGGGGGCACCCGGCAGAGCGGGCGGACGCTGAGGGGGGGGCTGCGGCGGGCACAGGGCGAGCGGCGGCGTGCCGGGGGGGCCGGCACCGGGCCGCCTTCCTCCCGAGGCCGCTGCCCCCGGGGAGCCCCCCGCCGGACGCCCCCTCCGCTGCCCGGGGAGAGCCGGGGGCCGGGGGAGCCGGGCGCACTCCCCCGGCGAAGGGCCCGCAGGCCGGGCAGCGAGGGGCAGGGGGGGCAGCGGTACCTGACAGCCCCGGGCGCGATCCCCCTGCCCCGCCGCCTCCCGCCCCATCGCCGGGCCGCGGCCGGCCCTGCCCCTCGCCCCTGCCCCCGGGAGCGGCAGGGAGGACGGCGAGGGTTGCCCCGTCCCCGTACCTCTCCCTTTGTGTCTGGCTGCTCCTCCTCGGTGCGGCTGGGCCTGGCCACTCGTGTCTCTCTCGCTGGGAGAGAAGCGGAAGTGCTGCAACAGCAACTATTAAACAGGCAATGGCTTCCCTAGCTGCCTCCCCCACCGCCGAGCGGGGCTGGGGGGCGGCGGGGCTGGGGCGACACCCGGCGCGGCCTCACGGCGAGCGGGAATCGGGGGGAGCTCGGGGAGCCCCGCTCCGGGGCTGGGGGGGATCCCGGCAGCCGCAGCCTCCCCCCTCCCCTTCGGCGGGTGCTGGGGAAGGAAGAAAGGGGCGATCGGAGGGGACGGGAGTTCGTAATGGGGATCCTCGGGAAAGTGCGCTGCAGTGGTGCAGGCTGTGAGGGTAACCCCGGCTGCCGTCTGCGCTTCAGTGCCAAAGCCCCAAAGGGACGAGGTGGAAGCAGGTGGCTGAGAGAGGGGCAAGCTGCTTCTTTAAGGCTGAGCTGAGCCGGTGCTGTTGGGTCCGAGGGGGGAAAGGGGGGGTGCTTTTTGCTTTCCCCCTATTCTCACTTCTCACCTGCTTTGTCCCTCCAGCACCAGCAGCAACTTCTCACCTGTCTCAGTTGGAATGCAATAAGAAAAAAAAAAAAAAAAAAAAAAAAAAAAAAGAGCCCAGCCCAAACCCCCACACATCGAGCCCCGAAGGAGCCCCGTCAGCTCTCACCTGTTCCGGCCCCACCGCAACAGCTGGATGTCCCCTGCCCCCCAGGTCAGCCCCGAGCCCGCAGCAGCACTCGCCTTCGCCCGGAGTTCAGGATTCCATTGTCCCCCACGCTGCACTCGGTGACATCACTGACACACAAAGAAGGGGCACTTCGTGATGTCATCAGCGCTTGCTAGGAGAGGGAACGAAATCCTGGGCTCGGGGCTTGGCAGCCTCAGTGAGAAAAATCCCCTTCCATTTTCCAAAGGTAAAACTATCGGGGATATTTATTTTTCCCCGAGTCCCCGGCGGGAGCAGCAGTCAGCCGGCTGGGGTGCTGTTGCATTGTGCTTTCCGGGCTCCTTACTCTTCTCCCCGAAATACTGGTGGCCGATCCCTCGCTCCTTGCCCGCCCCGGGAAGCGAAGCACCGTGGCTGTGGCAGCCGGCACCCCCAGCCAGCAGCCCACGCCGGCCCGGAGCCACGCCAAGCGGCCGCTCGCGGGCTGCACCCGGGGTCAGTTTGGCTCAGCGCCGCCACTTTCCACCGCGCACCGAGGGATCCCGTCTCGAATTACTTGACGGCCGAAAATACAATGGCTGTCGCCACCGTGCATCATCATAATTAATAGGACTTTGTGTTTTCATCGTTGCTCCTGCTGGAGGACCGGCGGTCTGCGGGCGCGGAGCGGGGTCACCGCGAATTCGGCAGGGCGAGGGGGCTGCACGACAAAACGGGGGGGCGAAAGGACGCCCGGCCCCGGGACAGCTCGGGGCATGCAGCGCTGCTTCGCGGCTGCCAGGTGCGGGGTGAGGCGGGGGGCGGCCGGGTCTCCCGGGGCCGGGGGGGTAGCGCTGCGCCCGGCCCCGCACGCCAAGATGGCCCCAGCGGGCGGTGCGCGGTTCGCCACTGAGGGGTGCGGCGGGCTGAGAGCCCGGCAAGGCTCCCTCCGGCCTGCCCGCCTGGGGCCTGCGTGCTGCCTGCTGTGCGGCCCGGCCTCTGCCCGGCTGTCTCGCAGAGGCTATGCGTGATGGTGGGCTGGAGGAGCTGGGGCACTGCTCTCTCGGGCGTAGCCCATGCAGATGGAACAGGGGGCAAATGGACCCCGAAGTGAAGCTTGTTTCACCTCCTGGGTTAATCCCCGGACTCCCCAACAAACTTGCTGCCCGGTCTCCCGTGTGGTTGAACAGTGAAGGATATTAGATAGGCACGCCGATGACATTGTAAGAGTCATGCTAATAGAAGAAGGAATTCTACTGCAATTTCACACTTGCTGTTTCGTTTGTTTCCCAGCTGCCAGTCTTTCCTATCTCTGGCATTGCGTATTAGGACATGGTGAATTGTCCTCCACAAACAGCTGGCAAGCAGAGCCAGCCCACCTAGTTTTACCTATTCGAATGGCACTTGTGAAGTCCTTTAGAAAATGTAGAGCTTTGATACATTCACGATTGACAAAGGCCTCACAGGAAATGGTCAGGCTGGATGGGGCACTGAGCACCCTGATGTAGCTGTATGTATCCCTGTTCATTGCAGAGCAGTTGGACTAGATGACCTTTGAGGGTCCCTTCCAACTCAAATGATTCTATGATTCTGTGGTGAAATAATACGTCATGAAAACTGGCATTTAAATAAAATTGGGTGATCTGGATCGCTCTGTGTCCCTTGTTGATGAAAGGGGGATCGAATTTAACTCTCTGCTTCCCAGCAGTTAGCAGTCTGTCACTGTCCTCCTAACTCGTGCATGGAACTTTGGAGGATGAGACTGGTGATACAAGCAATGGGCATGGGAGATGAGAGGACACAAATCACTTGGCTTCACAAATGCCACTTCTTATGGAACAAATTTTAAAAACAGAAGATCTTCACTTTCACTGAAAACAAACCTCTAGCCCTTTCCTGTCATCACAGGAAACCTGCCTGAAAGTCGAGTAAGACAACTGATATTAATAATGAAAGCCCTTCATTTCTGTAACAGGGTGCAGGGAAAACAAAGATTTTTACAAATTTGCACACACATACTTTTCTTATACTATCAAGTTTGTTGCAGACTGACCTTTTCCACAACATATGATTTTTAGTAAGTCTGTTCAAAGTATTATGATAACCAGCACCAGTTGTTACTTACTTTGAAGCTTACCCAAAAATGCACTCTCTGAAAGTATTTACTAACGTCTTCTCTTCAGCTGTTTCAGTGACAGCTCCCACTGTATGTTATGGCTCATCTTCTAGCTCATGGCCAGGACCAGGCAACGTGCTGCTCTCCTGTGCTAGTCACACCATACCCCTCGCCAGAGAGAGAAAGAGACCCAAGGATCCAGCTAGACCCAAGGATCCAGCTTCTGTGCCCTGAGATGTTATTGCAGCTTTCTCACCCATGATTATCCTACCAGCCCTGCACAGACACTGAAGCACTGCAAGAGTCTAGAAAAAGTTCCTTTTGTATTTTCTAGCCAATAGGTGAACTAGCTCCTCTAATCCAATGTCTCCCCATCTTGAGAATTTTGAGAAAGCCCATGATCTGCTTCTATTTCTTTCCTGTGAAGTGTACACACTTCATCAGGTCAGATTTCCTTCTTACTTGTGCTTCCTCTTTCTGTCTCCTAACTTTTTAAAATTATTAATACTCTTATTATTATGGCCAAGTTGTACGAAGGACTTGCAGAGAAAAAATGATCCAGATTATTCACTTTTTGTGTGCCCCAAGCTTTTTTAATCTATGGCGCTAGCTCTAAGCAGCAACTGAATAAGACTAGTCAGTTTTCCCTCTGGATAGACTTTGGAGGAGGCTGCAAGGCTAGATGACTGGAGTCGAGTTGTCTTTGGGGCTTTGAGCTTAATTCACAGCAGAATCTAGCCAATTCAAATCAAATTGAGCCTGATGCTAGGGGAAGGTGACTAGGATTAGTTCCTTTGTACCATCTCAGATCCAGATATCTTTTCAGCATTATTCCTGGCTGGTTTATTTGGGCCCAAGCCAAAGCCCTTCATATTTTCAGCAGTTCCAGTGAGTTTTGCATCAGGCTTCGTGGGGAGTAGAAAAAAATGATCATCTGTTTGGCTCTCCTGATGTCAGCTCACTACTAATGTCTTGCATGTCAGTGGCTGCGGGAAGGCCAGAAACATGTTGCTATCTCGTACAGTCCTGTGATGACACACTTTGTCTTTTCTGTGTGACTCTATGACATAAGGTCAGATGGCAAGGAAAATCCGTGATGAGCTCAAGATTCACGACAAAGCTATTTGAATAAAGCTAGGCAGAAACTCTGAATTGGGCCAAAAGAGGAAGGAACTTCATTCAAATGAGAGAAAAGCTAACAGAAAATGTAAGTGCTCATTACAGTGACAAAAGAGTAATGAATCTATAGGGTTACTCTACAGTTTCCTGCTCACAACTCTCTTGCCATAACTTAGTGATGCAGCCCAACTTCTGTTGCTGTAATTTTCTCAAACAGTATGACTTTTAAGTCCTTAGAGCTACATCTTCTTCAGTTCGATTCTTTATAGAAGGGTCCACAGATAGAAAAAGACTTGTTTTCTTTGCTTTTATTCCAGTGCCAGAGAGAACTTTATTGTGGAGGGAAAAACTTTGGTCTCCTTGTCAGACCACTGCTATTTGCTGCTTGCTTTTTGTTTTGTTTGAGACTAGTACTGGGAGCTCTCTGAAGGCCTTGGTGAGACTGTTGTGTGAGCAGAAAGTCCCATTACAGATTTTGGCCTTATTAAAGTCCTGGCCAAACTCCCACAGACTGGAGAGTGGCTGGAAATCGATTCCAAAGGCTTACGAGGAAGTATAGTTATGTGTAGCCATCCCTTTATGCTATTGCTATGCTGCTTTCTTTCATGCCTCTCCTGCAATGGGATGTGGTTCATTTTGGTAACTGAAAAGCTAAAGATGACGAGATCAATTCAGTTTTGCAACATCATAAGAAGTTTCATGAGAAACTGCCTTGGATTAATCCTTAAAATTGCTTTACCTTGAAGATACAATGATTCACTGCTTTCTCAGTTTACCAGATCCATAGTTAGTACTCAGTGCTGTGCACTGCGAGATATATGACTCTTCTTCTGTTGATGTCTCTAGCAATCACTCTGCTGATTCTCATTTTCCATCCTATAAAAGAAGAGAATGATGTTAACTGAGAGTTAAACTGAAAATGTAAATTGAGGTGCTTGTACAAGCTTCACTCATAGTCACTCATTAGACTTCTCTGTCACTTACTTTTTGTGTCCGATGGATCTGCTTTTCTGCAGAAAGCTGATTCCCCAGTGGTCTCTGCTTCCTTTGGGCTTTGTGGTAGCTGTCTCGGCTTTTTTTTTTCTCTGTCTCTGCAGTGCATAGGCTCCCTGGACTGCAGTATTCCATACTCCTCAGCTTTTTCCTCCTGGTACTGTGTGCTTCCTCAGTTCAGATGTTTTTCCTGTTTCTGCTTCTTTTTCTGTTTACAGAAGGTACTGCTTTATGGTTTGTCATCAGCTTTCCACGTCTACATACCAGATTTTTTTGGCAGCAGTGTTCAGATCTTGAAGAAAGTGAAATTACTGTAGTAGATTAAGAAGTAGATGGATTGTCATCAATCAGTCCTGCACTATGAAGGCTCCCAGGACGACGGCATTGCTATTGGCAAGAGTCCTGGGAGAGGTGGAAGGCGTTGGCCAACATGACCCAGACAAGAGGACTTCTGGAGGCAGTGGGCTGAACAACAGCAAATGCACTATATTTTGCCACTTTCGCAAACTTACAAAAAATTCCAAGTTGCTGTTTAAACATGAGTTTGCTTTTTATTTGTCACCACTGTATAGCCAGTGGCAATGGCCACTGTTGGACAAAACCAGTACTCAATGCTTTCCACTACATTAACAAATAGACTGGGACATTCCTGGTGTAATACCAGATGTAGTTGAGAAAAAGCCAATCTAGAACAGTTTTGCCAACATGAAGTGCAGCTCTTGATGTTGTGTTTTGTCCATACAACTTCCTGCACAACAATCCTCAGAGCTTTTTTTTCTGGTGTAAACTTAACCTTGAAATGTGTCTGTCTTGTAACAAAATAGCCAGAGAAGAGAACTGCTGGGAATGGCTCATTAATAGCGTACACTCATGGCTTATGCCTCTGCCTTTGTTGAGTGCTTTGTGAAATCCAGATGAAAAGGAAAGTATTTTTCATACTGTCAACAGAATGTTACAGGTTGACCATAGTCTCTGAAGATGTACCTTAGAATTTCTCTTGCTCATTGTGGAGATGCAGATCCACAATAAGTCCTACAAAATGTTAGTCTATAGTGTTGAGTGGGCTATTTAAGAACTCAGCAATAAATGGACAAAATAACATTCCCAGTATCCGAGACAAAGGAGTTTCTCATTGTATAAGTAATACTTCATACCTACAGTTCTTTATTTCTGCCCTTTCAAATATTTCTCTCTGTCACACTATGTGTCACTCTTGCTCAGATGGGTTAGCACAAGAAAATCTGCTTTGCTTGCTTATACACTGAATTGGTAATAATCTTATTCTAGTGTATTCTTTATACTAAAAAAAAAAAAAAGAGTGATTCTCTGTCTGCTCCAATTCTGTGGATTTGTAAATCCATGCAGGGTAAAAATCCACATGTCCTAACTTCTCAGAAAATGTATTTAGTGAGGATTTCAATTGACTCTTTCAACCTCTGCCTCCTCATCTAACAAAGGTTCTTCTCAACAGAGAAGGATCAGGAGAGGTGTTCAGGGCTTAGTAATTTCACTCTGTGGTTTGACTACAGTTCAAGACTTCAATGGTCTTCAACTGCAATTTTTCTCCCTAGGCCTCCTTATTATTACAGAGCCCTTCAAAAGGCAGCAATAGAAGCACTCAGATTTGTACAGATCCCTGATGCTACATTCTTGAGAAGCCAGTATATGGCACTTTTTTTCTTCTTTTTTTTTTTTTTTTTGGTCTGACCAGCACATGAAAACAAAGGATAGCTCATGCATCAGGTTTTTAACTGTTACTTACATTTAACACTTACATCTTTTTTTTTTCTTCCATATTTCCCACATAACTTCCATAGTTAAAACAAAAAGGTACATGCTATTAAAAACTGCAGCATTTGTGAGCCTTTCATTTCAAAACTTCTTAAAAGCCACTGTCCCTTTTTTTTTTCCCCTGATCTAGGCCACGGCAACTCTCAAGTGCCAAAGGTTACGGAAGTGTTCACAGCATGGACCAAGACTTCACACACACTGTTTGCTCATTATCCCTTCTCACATTCGTGATCATAGAAAGTCCGTGTAGCATCTTCAGCAATTGCTTACAAGGAAGTAGAAGCTTAGGAAACCTAAACACCTCTGAATACTAATAGACATTTTGTTTTGTTGGGTAGTGCTGTATTGTTCTGCTCTGTTCCTATACAATTATAAAAGGCAGCTTTGAAATGTGGTTTCTTGCTAAGCTAAAGAATGTCACGTCAGTGGCCTGAAGGACAGCTAGATATTTCAGGCTTTGTCCACACAGGCACATTTCACACTTCACCTGAATACAACTACACAAGTATAGATAAACAAGCATCATCCTGCCTATGAACTGCTGTGTCGATGTAAAAATATTTTCTCCAGTTCGACTGGAACCCTTTCCAGAGTAACATAAGCCAAAACTGAAAAAAGTCTCACTTTGGTAGTGTTCACATGAGGACTACATCAGTATAATTATAGAACATTACGTAATATAATAAACTCTACTATTGTACAGATGTACTTTGGGAAACTTTATTCACAGTATAGTGAAGTTGCTTCTCAAATCTTTTAATTCAGTGTTACTACAGAGTTAGATCTGAAGCAGCAGGTTCTTGCTTTCATGCTGTGTTTGCAGTCCTTTCTCAAATAATTCATTGCATTCTCTTTCTCTCTTTGACTTACCCTGACATTTCTCTCTCCTCAGAGCCCTACATAGGCTCTTTCTCCATATTTCTCTGGCCACAGTCCTCTGCTTCTCTTTTACATCTTCTGCTTTTTCTTCTTCACACTCTTCCTTGTTTCTGGCTTTTCATAACTCCCTGCAAGTGACTCCCTGAATTCTGTCTGGGGTGTCAAGTGTCATCCTTCTTTTTAAACACATTTTCTCTAAGAGTATAAAATGGATGCTTAACTCTTCTTCCCCACTTCTTTCCAAGTGGTTGCTTCTCTAGCAAACAACACTATGTTAGTTCCTTCTAATTATTTCTTGCTTCTTTCTGACTTACAGGCTGTTCTTGAAATGCCTTGCAAATGCCCATGGAAGCAGCTTTCTCTCAAGAGATCAGTAATATAGCAAATACTCTGCAGCCTCCCCTGTCCCACCCTGTTCTTCGAGAGCTGCTATTTATCGCAGCAGGTAGCATGAGAAAAATAGCAGCTCTCTGGAGAGAAACTATTTTTTCTTAAAACATAGCCAGGCTTTAAGGCCTGTGAACAGGTCACAATAACGTAATTGCAGAAACCTAATTCCTGTTTCAAGAGGTTTGAATTATTTCTCGGACAGTATCACAAGTCACAAAATATTTTTATAGGACTTGATTTAGCTAGACATCTACCAATAGTCATCTGTGGTCACTTAAGCAAATGCAAAAAACAAGCCTCTTATCTCAGAATATAATATCTGTAGAACTGTAGAACTGTGCAGCTTAGTGGCATTTTGGGTGGCAACTGTACCACACCTTGGAAGGGTTTCTTTGGAAAACTGGGGTTAAAAAAAATAATAATGAAAGGGACAGTGAACAACAGATGCTAAGAGCACTTCCTCCACCAGCTGTAGTCAGGAGGAGAGAGAGAAATCTTTTCACTTATTCATTGAGAATTTGCACACAAATTGATGTACCCCCAGAAATGAGGTGTACATTTCAAATTCCAGAATTTGTGTGTTGACACTACAAACTACAGGAGGTCTTTATTGGACAGGCTGACAAGAGAGGCTTATTCATAGGATTTTTTTTTTTTTTTATAATGGCTAATAACAAAATGGAAAATGGAACATTGCCATTTTTCCTAGGAATTTGTTGTCAAGGAAAGTGGAGATTTTACAAATAGCAGAGACAGGACTAACACCTCTCCAATAGCGCTTCTAAATTCTGCCACTGTTTATATTTTAAACATTTGCTAACCTCAAAAATATGCCCATTTATTTTTTGGTGGTGTCACAGAAAGATGACACCACCCTTTCAAATATATAGTGTCACACAGGACAAACAATGCAATGCAATCCTCTGCACTCTGGGAAAGTGCAGGTTCATTCTTCATGAGAGTATTTCACTAGCCTTGTATTCAGATTCATCAGGCCTCACACACTGGATGATGAAGTCAATAAGGGTCTTTCTTACTATTAGCTTGATCTGTTTCAAACCAAGTCAATGAGTAGTAGCAGATTTTCTGGAAGGAACTCATTAATGGAAATGCTGCTGCTTTCTGCAACTCCCAGGTATCCAATGGAAGAATCATTTAGTTGCCATAATGTCTGCTGCATCCTTGTGTTGTGGCTGTGTCACTCAGATATTACGATCTTCTTTAATTTAGCTTCCTTGATCTCCTTTCAGCTATGCTTTTTCTCCTGCTGTGCAATATTATTTTCGTGTCTTCTAGTTTATGTGCTATTGGCAGCCCTTGCTCTCCACTTATCAGAAGAGGAAGAGAGAGGACAGCGTCACACTTGAATGATTTTTTATAAGGTTGGGATATATAGTAGGTTTCACAATAAGATAGCCTGGCCAATAGAGTTTGTACGTATGGATTTTTCGGTTTCTTTGCAGCTATGGGATCAGCTTTGCACAGTAAAAGAGAAAAAAAAGGAAAAAAAAAAAAGCAAAGAGAGATTCTGTTTTTGCACTGGGATAATTCTATTGACTTCAGCAGTTTTATTTCAGATTTTTGCTGGAACAAAGGGAGTTCAGAGTCAAGCCCAATGGATCTGTTTACAGCGCTTTTGGAGACACCAATTTACTCAGTCATTTGGAAAATCTTACTTCCATACTGCTGAAGATCTGGGATGATTCTCAATTCTAATGTATTAGGGGGTCTGCTCTGCAGTGTATAGATGTGTTTGCTTATAGAATTAGAAATCTGTAAAGTAAACTTTATACACCAAGCCCTGCCTTCTCTTGTGTTTGAAGGCAAAGCAGAAAATAAGATGCATGGAGAATTTCCTGCCCCTGTGCAAAGAGAAAATCTCATGAGTGTTAGCCTCTAGCAAAGCTGGATACAGCCTCCCAGACTGTGATCGTTTACACAGCCCTCAGGAGCAAACTCCAGCTAGACACAGCTCTGAGCACTTTCCTTCCTGGGCACAGGATGCCAGCAGCCTGCTGCAAGGAGTCCTATCCTGCTGGTTAGGATTTCTCTTGGCAGAGCCCATTCTGAGTGGAACCTTTGCTCCCTTTCATTGCAAGGACAGCATCCTGGCCCCTCTTAAATGGCTTAATGCCCTACCCTGATTCT